CTCTGGCCTGTACCCCAGTTCTGTATGAATAAATAAATAAATCTTTAAAAAAAAAAAAAAAACAGCAGAGAACTGCCAATCCTAGGAACTTCCCTGTTCAGAACAGGGTGTGGGTGGAGTGTCAGTAGGAGGTGGGGGGGGGAGGGGGCAAAGTGCAGGAGGTGCCAGACATAGAAGTCTAGGGCTAGCACACTGTGTGGACAGCGCAGTTGCTGATTTTGTGATAGGATTTCAGGGACCAAACACACACACATGCCATTAAAGGAAACCTTTTCTTGGGCTAACTGGTAGCCTAAAGTTTTGTTTGTCTTGGTTCTTCCAAGAGCATTGTATAGCCCGTGGCTAAGAAGGGGGATCTTAATGACTTACAGGGATCATACAGATCAGCATTCAAATACCATCTCTGCCTTCAGCAGATAAGTTTACCTGACTGAACTTCAATTTTCATAAATCTAACAGTTGTCCCAAAGGAAGATAGTCAAGGAAAGAATATCTATTAAACACTTAGGACTGAAAGCTGTGGATACTAGAACCATGTGCAGGTAAATCATGCATGGACAGCCCCCTGTGGTGTCTTGTGGAGATGCCCACTCCTGAATAGCTCACCCCTCTCTTTCCCTCCAGGGGTGAGGGAATATCCTGAAGAGAATGTGTTCAGATGGGCATTTAATGCTGCTGGATCTGGCGTCTAGTCCTCTTAATACCTCCTTAGCCAATTGGAAAAAAAAATACAAAAACTTTAGCTCACAGCCCACAGTACCCACTAGGATAGCATATCAGATCTCTAGCATGATTTCCCATTGTGTAAACTCTTGCCCTGATTCTCTAGATTTTAGCTCCTAGTTATAATCACGATGGTTTCTTTCATTATTCCATCAGCAAACAGAAGTAAATGGCTACTAGGTGTTGGTTTTTTATTTTAACCAGAGGGAATCACAGGCTTCTAGACTGATGCTGTGCTGACTGCATTTCATAGATGTCTCTTATCAACCTTCAACTACCAATTCCAGCTTAACCATCTGTCATCATTTCTCTTTCAGATCAAGTTGGCATCAACATTCCCATAAAAATGACTAATCAAGACAAATCCCAAATAAAAGCAAACTCACTTGACATTTGTTGTACTTTAAATTCATTATGGTCCTTTTGACCTTATGTAAAATCAAGAAGGAGCTGCTGGTTTTCTCTGTGGCATTGATCATCTGTGATAGGCCCTCCTGGAAGCATGGGGTGGTGCAATTGTCCTGGGGAGTAATAAGGATTTAAGAAAAGCAACATTCAGAGGACAGTTCAGAGAAGGAATCAGAGGGAATGCTTTTAGGAACTATTTTAACTTAATCACAGTACTCAAACCATGCCATAGTCAGCTAAATAAACAACAGGAAGGAAGGAAGAGAGGGAAAGGGCAGAGCACACTGTTTCTGCCAGAGGAAAAAACAAAAAAAGAGTTGTGGTTTTATTTATTGCCTTGTTACACTAACATTATTGGCAAATCAATTACAAAGCAATGCAATGTAAGCTGTGCCATTTGTTATATTCTCCTTTCCAGCGTGATGTCATTGTGCATGTGGCCACTGATCTACAAAGGCATCAAGATTCTTTTTTAAGTATTGAAAGATATTTAAACTTCTTCAGGGGTATAAAGCTCATTCATTATACAGAAATTCATATAGTCTCAAATTTCAGGAGCAATACCAATTGCAATTAAGTAACTGTTTCTTATCTAAGATCTGAAATAAAGCCATTTCTTTTTACTTAAAAATAACTAGATAAAGATTTTTTTTTTAATTGTACTTACAGGAGGGATGGGCAGGCACAAGCAATCAGTCACCTGAAAAAGAAATTTCAAAGTGAAGATTGTAGATGTGAACATTAAAGTTAGTTTGGAAAATTCTGCAAAGAGCGTTTACTCACATTGGTGCTGCAGCTGCATCCCAAACCATTTTTCTAAAGGAAGTAAAGAGACAAGAACCCATTCTGGTTGGTACATTTTTCATCTTCCTCTAAATCACTTAAATTTTCTATCACTACCTTTCCTGCTAGCTCCCTCCTCTGCAACTTACCTGTGCTTCATTCATGAGGGACTTTATGTTTAAAATGTCCTCGAAGGTTGAGCATTTCTGACTGGTTACAGAGCAGAGGAGCAGGGCAGAAGCTATGACCACAGCAAGGAGCATCTTGACTAGGAGCTAGGACTTTGCCTGCAGGTACCCTCAAATCTGGTTGTATTTAAAGCTCCCTTGCTAACTTGGAAAAACCCTGACATCAAAATGATACCAAGTGCCCACTTTTTCTTTGTAAGTTTGGGCCACTTCACATTGAAAAATAGGTTCATTTATTTACATGTAACTGAGTCACTCAGCAATTGCTATATCACACCATGCCGGGAAACATCATATCTCAGTAAAACATGCTTTTCAAGAAGCTGGGTATGAAGATGCTGTAGGAAAAGTTAAAGATCTTAAAACCATGCTTATATTTAAGGTAAAGATTCTGGTTGTGAGAGTTCAAATACTTTCCATGAAAGCCCAGTCTGTATTTTCCCTTTATCAGAAATGCTGATAGAGTAGCCAGTCACAGGTGTTCTGATAAAAAAAAGAAGCTGGGGGGTGGGGGGACAGCAGAGGAGAGAGAGCAGGAAAGCTGTTGTCTGGCCTTTTGCTACCTGGCAGTTTGCAAGCTTAATAGTGTCACTGCAAACTCAAATTTTGACCACTCAAGTCTGATTCCTGGGGCCAGAGTCTCCGCTGCATTCAAATTCATCTTTGTGCCAATATTCTTTGCAGAGCTTGAAATAGCATAATACCCAATATTTATTGGACACTTCATACATGCTAGTCACAATTCTAGCATTTTTGAGAAATTAAGCCACGTAAGACATGTAGCCACCAAATGAGGTAGGTATTAATTTGTTATCTCCAAATTACAAATTTGTGTTAGTGTTTTTACCTTTTAAAATACTATCTATATCTTTTGCTCCTGGCTCTTTGAAGTACTGTTTTTATCATCATAATCTAGAAGGCAGTCTTCCTATGGGCTTATGAGGGAAGAAATATGATTATCCCCATTATTATTTTTTTATAACAGTTTATTTTTACATCATTTTTTACATTTTTTTCCATCTCAGTTGTAATCCCCACGGGTTTCCCATCACCAAGTCACCCGTGTGCCATCACCATAATCCCATGCACTTCCCTCCCTCCCCACCCCTCCCCCACATTTTTGATCCCATTCCCCACTCCATCCCCACAAAATGTCTCTGGTATATGGCTGTTCATTATTCTTGTTATTTTCTCGCCTGGTCCATTATACTCCTGCTATGAGTGAAACCATCTGGTATTTTTTTTCTTTTTCTGACTTATCTCACTAAGCATGATCTTTTCCAGCTCCATCCAAGTTGCTGCAAAAGACATGTGTTTCTCTTTTTTGGTTGCTGAGTAATATTCCACTGTATATATGTACCACATCTTTTTAATCCAGTCACCTACTTTCGGGCATTTGTGCTACTTCCATGTTTTTCCAATTGTAAATAAAGCAGCAATAAACATGGTGATTATCCCCATTATTTTATAGATGGGGGAGCTGAAGCACAGAGAGGCAAGGAATTTGCCCAAAGTCACAGAGTCAAAAAGCAGCAAAAATATGGATTCAAACTTGAGTCTAGCTCCCAGGTTGAGGTTCTAATCTTGCTTTCCTATTCTCTGTGTGGTTTATGTCTGCAGCTCAGAATCAGGATCTGCATCTCAGATCCTGCCCAGGATCTAATTCACCCCTAGAGCCTCAGCCTTCAAATTTATTGGATTAAAACATTAATTTGAAAAGTAATTTTTGCAATAGTAAGAAAGATGCACATAAACAAAGACTTCTTAAGACTTCAAATCTAGTTCCCCAGGGTACTTAGCTGGAGTTGTGAGTGCTGAAGCAATGACAGCTTCAGAGAACATGGACTTCTCTCAGTTGGCTGTTTGAGATGTAGTGACTGAAAGTCATTCCTTAGGGTGATGATGGATCCTCAGTGTTTGACTGCATTATAGGGAGGGAGTATCTTAGTGGCAAACAAGGTAAAAAGAAATTGGCTTTTTGCTAAACTTCAAAAATCCTCTCACAGATGTTCCTTCCGTGACTGTAGGCACTAAGAAGGAGATTCCATGGCCTCCCAGTCTATGGCAAGCCCTTACTACATAATCTGGAATCTATGCTCATTCCCTATTGTAGAATCTTGGTTAATATGAGGTGGCAATGTACCTAGGCAAGCACCTTTCTTGTTGGTACAGTTCACTATGTGACATGTTCTGATTAATGCAACTTCTATAGAATTTTTTTTTTCTTTCCTGGCAATAGGGAACAAAAGAGTAGCTGAAACTTGCCTTTACCTTATTTCAATTTGGACACCGATGTGATGGCAGGAACTTCAGCAGCCATCTTACAACTATAAAGGAATGGATAGGAGAGGGTTGCACTAATAGTGACACTTTTATATAAATAGAAAATAGTCATAAAAACAACAAAAAGTATGAGTGCACCAACAGAAAGTAACAGTAAGAATATAATAATGGTACTAATTTTTTT